GAATTAAAAGGGGGGACGAGTGTGGTGCTGTGGTGCGAACTACTTATAAGTAGTATATAACGTGAGTGTCAACGTAAAGTCTGGTAGCATAATATGGGGGGAAGATCAAGAAAGGAAGAGTTAGAAAACAATGGAATTTGTATGAAACGCATGAAGAGTGACAATGGATTGATGTTTGGCAACAGGAACAGTCCAGTTCCATAGGATGAACTGATCTTTTGCAAATGAACGATTTACGATATGGTTTTCCGATTTTACTGAGTAACTCTGTAATTTTCGTTAAATACAATTCGGTTGCCTCCACCTGTGTTCTCATTCACTACACTATGATCGAAAACCAATAACCGACGAGTATCTTCTACTCTCATTGTCCATGTTTCACAGCCATAAAGTAAGACGGAGCGAACCACTGCACAGTAGATTCGTCCTTTAGTCAGCAAACGGATATCTCGCCTTCTCCATAAGTGACGCAGGTTGGCAAATGCTAATCGAGCCTTCTGTATCCGAGCTGAGATTTCGGCAGTCACCAGGCCACATTCTTTAGATAACTAACTAATAATTCAAGGCATTTTAACTTGATAGCCATGGGAGTTAGAAGAGTTATGATATCTCATGATGAATGCCGAGTTCCTTCTACAGTCACGAGGTTTGATGCTTTTTCTGACAATCAGAGCAATCATTCTTTTAGGTATATGGAACATGAAGAAATTAAAACAAAATCTGGACAGAATTGGAAAAGGAAGCGCAGGACAGAGTAGGTTGGAGAATACTGATGGTCAGTGGCCTATGTTGCATTGAGGATGACAGGCGTATATAAGTAATATATAGAGATATATAATAAATTGTATCACAAATGCTAAGTAAATAATTCATTCATTTCCTTAGTACAAACGAATTCACTATTTAAAAAGCACACACACACACACATACTGTATTCATTCCTTAAAGCAGATAATATTTGTTGTATTTCTAAAGTAAAAAAATACATTTGAAAAATAACATGAAAATGTTATTTTGTAAAAATTGTATAATTTGTTTTGTTTAAATTAAATGTAAGTTTAGAATTAGGTTTAACTGTAATATGAATTGTCATTAACAACACTACTGAATGCATTTTTCTTTGTTCGTTTACAAAAATAAAATCAATAATACCATAGATTTTGATTTGTATATTTGGGAAATTTATTGAACCGTTGAAACACTAACTATGTGTGTTTTTTGTGAACTGAATTGAGTTGAGTTGACTCGTCAATCAGATTGAAGTAACTGTATGTATGTGAGATTGATGTTAATGATGGTGAGATTTTAAGTACCCATGTATTGTTAAATGTTGATGAAGCTATGAAGCTGATCGATTTATGACTGCAAACATTGTATTCATTTGTTCATTCGTCATTTTGATGATGAACACTATTCGTAATAAATAAAACGTTGGAATTTCTCTACTGTGTACCATCATAATCATCATTAATGGCAATGAATTTATTCAAGTCATTAAGAAATCTCGATTGTATGACAATGAAATATTCTATAAATCTAATCTAATGGTAATAAGATGAGAAATTAAAACTCTGCCTGACGCTCATCAGGGGTTACTGCTGATTCTAACCGGAGATAAAACAAGAGGATTGAGCATGAGTCTAGCGATCTCATCCCGTCGAAATACAATGAGCTAAGATAAATAATTAGGTGGTCGGTGACCTATGCTTCATTGAGGTCAACAGGTGTAGTTAAGTAAGTGAGTAAGTAGGTAAGTAATTGAGAAATACAATCATCCTAGTGCAATAAGTATTTATTGACTATACCAATTCAGTCTATGCATCTACTGACAGTGGGAAACAACACAACTGTTTTAACCAATGAAAAGATCAAAACTCAAACACACAACATAATGCAGTCACATTCGAATTTATCAGAGATAAATATTATTAAATTTAATAAGTAATCGTCTAAAACTATTAACTGATATTGAATCAATCTGTCAATATGTGAGTACTGATTAATAAACATTATGTTATCAGATAAGTTATCTATTTCCATATACCTTCTCCACTATATGATCCATATTGTCGTTTTGTAATATAGTTCACACATTCCACATCTACAATGTATTAATGTTTTGAGTATTTGACTCATGATGACATTGACTTACAGTACTGAAGTATTGTACGATTAATTGATAACGTCTGAGCGACCAAATCTACAATGTCATATAAACAAATGAATGTTACATCATTAGGATTTGGGAAAATCATGACTTTGAATCATGTATATTATATATACTACTTAATTTGACAATTGGTCTTATGGAGATCAATCCTAGTGAGTATTTTACACTGTTACATAAGTCTAACTGATATCTAAGTAATGCATAACTATTGTGAATAATTCAGGATTGTTCATCTGAAGAGATGAACAAAGAGATTCCCTTTGTGCATATGTTTTGTCAAATGTGTTGAGGCCACAGGATTTGTTTCCACTTTCGGAGAAACAAATTAACATTCTTTCTGCCCAAAATCATTATCCACCGATCTTTTGACCTTGTCATTTATTCTCTCATATCTTTGGTGTTTTTGCTTCAGTGTATATGTGAGCATGCCTACCATTGTTTTTGTCTGACTATACAGATATTTAGTGATGCTTCATCTTATTGAGTTCGCTCACTCATCTTGTTGAATTCAAGTCGTATTGCTTGTACACTTTTCACTCTTATGTCTGTCTGTATGAACGATTGTCTGGAATAAAGCAATCCAACTGATTCCGGATTCACTTTTTCATTACCGCCTTATTTATTATGCGTAAATTGAAGGGGAAAATTGATTTCATTGCATACTTGATCGTTCAACCAAACAGGAATCAGATCCTGAACCATTGAATAATGGTGAGGCCTACTTTAAATTCAATGCAACCAGTAAAATTTAAAATGTGTCTCTTGACATTAGCTGAAACCCAATCCATCAAAATCTCATTGATCAATACATTGTTCTCAGAACATTCATCATAAAACCTAAATATACAGATCAATGAGCTCCGTTCACTAAAACAAACTACAAAAATTCAATGAATTGTCATAGTCGATTAAAACATATTTGAATAAATTACCAATATGTTGTAGTGTTTCATTTTCAATGCGATCTAAATTCATTACATCTGTTTTTAAATCATCTACAAATGTAACAAGAGAAGTGTTCAATAGGAGAAAAATTGTTCGATCAATAATTTGAAGGGCAAAAAGAACAATAGATTTTGTCAAATATAAAACTCATTATCATCATATACAGGTGTTAGTGAGACATAGATGGAATTAAAGCATGACTACGTTGGTACGCGCTGATTGGCTAATTTCCTATCCAATCAGCGCCTGGTAGAATCTTGCAGAACAGGGTAGAAGATTCTCGTCATGTTAGCTGCGTGCTGATTGGTTAAATCTAATCCAGTCGATCACGTGAATTTCTATCCAGAAGCTTTCCATGTAAATGCTATAAATAGACTAACGTATCTATTTTTGCCTTCTTGCCTTCGCCTTCGCCTTCGACATCACCTTTGGCTTCTTATTTCTATTTAACCTTACTATTAGGAATATAATCTTTTCCTGTTCAACCGTGGTGTTTTTGATTCTTGGGAACTTGTCCAGTCAGTGTATTGTGGTCGGAGAATACTAAGCAATAGGAATTAA